GCTCCAGCTGAACACGAGGAAGAACTTCTTCCCTCTGAGGGTGATGGAGCCCTGGCCCAGACTGCCCAGGGAGGCTGTGGAGTCTCCTTCTCTGGAGATATTCCAGACCCGCCTGGACAAGGTCCTGTGCAGCCTGCTGTGGGTGACCCTGCTTGGGCAGGGGGTTGGACTGGGTGACCCACAGAGGTCCCTTCCAACCCCTACTATTCTGTGATTCTGTGAAATCTGGACCACCCAAACCTCAGCACAGGCTTCGCCGTTCAGGACATCCCCTGCCAGCGCGAACACTGAAGTGAGCATCTCCCATGCGTTGCCCAACGGTTGTTCCGAGCTGCTCCCCCTCCTTCAATAACCTTTTGAGCTCGGCGAGAGCGAGAAGCGGTAGCAGGATTTCGCGCCGCACACGCCCTGGGCAGACAAACGCAGCCCGTACTGGGCACGGCGTTATAAACAGCCCGATGTCTACGCAGCCCCAAAAACTCCCGGGACCCTTTGTGAACCTTTCCTGGGCTCCTTTGCCCGGCGGCACAACGCGGGTTTTCTCTCCCCCACAACAGCTCGTTGTGATCAGCAGACCCCCCCCGGCCAGCCGCTCTCCACAGGAACGCTCTGTCTGGGCTGAGCACGCTGATGTTCCTGCTGTTTGCTGAACAACAAAAAAAATCCCTTTTCCCTTAAGCTGCTGGTTAAGCAAACAGTTATTTAATACCTACTAGGTTAAAATACCTCTTCCTTCTCCACCAGCAGGGTTAAGGCACTCTCCAAACACCGCGCAAAAGACAACGGAGGTGCTTACACTGTCCGGCGCTCGCAAACAGCTTCTGCCAGCGCCGAGTTGTCACGACGGCCCGTAAGAATAATTCAGTGCTGTGCAAACCGAGGGCCAAACAGTATCATCTTGCTTCGCCGGAGTGAAAACCGAGGGAGGTGAATAAGGAGGTTTGCTTATTTGCTTATTTGCTGGGTGCCCCCAGCTCGCTGCCCACCAGCAGCGCCCAGCCTCTGTCAGCTCAGCAGCCAGGTGACAGAACACAGAACACAGAACCACAGGGTCACAGAGCCACAGAACCACAGGGTCACAGAGCCACAGAATCATAGAATCATAGAATCTCAGAATGTTCGGGGCTGGAAGGAACCTCTGTGGGTCCCCCAGCCCAACCCCCTGCCCAAGCAGGGTCACCCAGAGCAGGGGGCACAGCACCGCGGCCAGGCGGGGCTGGAATATCTCCAGAGAAGGAGACTCCGGCCCCGTCCTCCTGACACCCACCCTGCAGATATTTGGAGGCATTTCTAAGGTCCCCTCTCAGCCTTCTCTTCTCCAGGCTGAACAAGCCCAGCTCCCTCAGCCTCTCCTCGTAGCAGAGATGCTCCAGTCCCCTCATCATCCTCGTAGCCCTCCGCTGGACTCTCTCCAGTAGCTCCTCATCTTTCTTGAACTGGGGAGCCCAGGTGAGGTGCGAGGGGATCACAATTCTTCTCACCTGTCTGGTATCTTGGAGCAGCAACCGCAGAAGTCAATGAAGTTGATGCTTAAACAAAAGGGAGCGCGGGGGTGCCGGGCCCCGCTCCGCTCCCGTCCCCTGGTACCCAATGAGCCAGGCCAGACTCCCCTCCCCAGCACGCGGGGAAGTTCAGGCGCTGGAACAGCCACCAGACGATGAGCTTCCCAAGGGTCTTCGGCGTTACTGGAATTCCCACTCATTTTTTGGCATTTCTTTTCATCTCGGAGGAAAACAATGTGGTTCCTGGAATGGTATGGTTCATCCTAGGCAAAGCACCTCGACTCCATTTTTATTTTTAAATGCTAACATCATTTCCCATATGGAGCAGCACACAAGCATAGGCTCACCTCGCTGAATTCAGTTCTTCTGGTATATGCCAATACAACAAACAAATTCACTGCTTGGCTGGATTAGAGCCAAAGTCACGAAGCGTTCCCTGCAGAGCCAGGATGACTTCTGGCTGGCTTCCCGTCTCACTCCAC